TGTGGGGGTGTAGGTGCGGCCCAAGCTGCCCCGCCTTTCCAGAACCGCTTTTACCCTACGAGGACGAGGAGAAAGGCTGCTCAGCAGAGCCCCGTCCCTCCTCTTACAAAGTTTTAAGTCACGAGCGCGCTCTTTCTCCCCATGCCCGCTATTTACGCAGGCCCAGGGCACTGGACGCTCTCTGGAAAGGGCTCGCTCGCTCTCCCGCGGTCGAGCCTCTCTGCAGGGTCGCCCCGCCAGCCAATCATCGCAGCTTCCTCGCTTCGCGGCGGCGGACCTGGCCGGTGTTTGCCCAGAGGCTGGCATTCGCTAGCGGATGTTTGCCTTCCTATTGGGGCCAAGTAGCACGAGGAGATGAATGGGAAGCGGGGAGGGGAAAGTTAGAGAGAAGCTAATTCAGCTCGGATCGTCGGGGACCAAATCAGCCGTCTGTGTGCCCCAGCCAGTGGAAGAGAGCCCGAAATAATAACGGGGGGTTGAAAAGAAAATGTACAAGACCTGCCAGTTTCTATAGCAGAGCGGAGGCAATGGGTGCCTACTTTTGCAAGGCGGTCACATCCGAGAATTGGGTCGCTTATCAGATTTAATGCGAAGTGTTGAAGCTCAAGCGTAACAAAAAATAATTGTTGTACATGCATAACCAATATCCCAACAAATAAACTATATTGTGGCTCAATTGTCTTAAAGCATAATGACCATATTCCCACAATATGTCCAACCACAATTTTGTGCACTTAAGGTGGTGTCAGCTCTTAGTAACATCAATAGGTTTTCTCCATGATATTCTGTCCCTGTTGATCCTTCAGCATTTCCAAAAGCACCCCCATCACTGAGTTCATCCACCTTGTTGTTTTCCATCCTCTTTCCTCCCACCTTTGTCAGTATTAGAGCCTTCTCCGAGAAGAAAACTAGATCTTCACATAAAGTGTCCACAGAAGGATAATTTGAACTTCTGGACCTGCATCTAGATGGTGCTCTCTGAGCTTGGTTGTTTTCTTGAAGACATTTCATTACCAAACCAGGCAATATCATCAGTAGTAATAGACAGTGGGATTTACTCACATTTTATATACTAGGGGATTGCCCTGTCAATGTTGGTCAAAGTAGTTTTGGTGATTCCTTGATTGGACTGTTGTTTACTGTTAGCTTGTTTGGATAAATTGTCCGACTCACCGGACAACTGTTCTTGCACTTCCAAATCCTGGTCAAGAAATGGGTGGCAGTTATAGCCAGGAGGGTTTTGTCTTTGATTTTCAATTGATGTGTCAAATGATATGTCAATTGTATCTGCCCCTGGATCAGGTGTCTCTGCTATTGATCATTTAGATCTTAGCACCTTCTGGTTAAATTACTGCAATGCATTTAAATGGGGCTGCCTTAGAAGAATATCCAGAAACAATCTGGTTCAGAATGCAGTGGGTCAGATCGCAATATGGCCATTTAACATGACTATTTTGTGCACTGTGCTATCTCTTAATAAGCTTCAAGATGCAATTCAAGGCCATGATCAGAAGTGGTATTAAGCAGGTTCTGACCAGTTTTGGAGAACCTGTAGCAGAAATGTTGAGTAGTTCGGAGAACCAGTAAATACCACCTCTGACTGGCCCCGCCCCCATTTATTCTCTGCCTCCAGAGTCCCAGCTGATCGGGAGGAAATGGGGATTTTGCATTAACCACCTCCTGGAGTGGGGAGGGAATGGAGATTTTACAGTATCCTTCCCCTGCCACGCCCACCAAGCCACGCCCACAGAACTGATAGTAAAAAAAAATTGAATCCCACCATTGGTCATGGTTGTGCATTTTCCATAGTAGTTCTTTCCTTCTGAAATAATCTTCCCTCCACTCCTTATTACCTTCCATAAGGTATTAAAAACGTGTTTTTTTTCCTCTCTAAAATTTGGGATGAGATGTTAGATGTGCCTGTTTTGAAGAAACATTATTTGACAGCTGAATTGTATGTCTGTCTTTTTTAATTAGCTATCCAGAGTTACACTAGCAAGCAGATAGCCATATAAATTTATTAAATAATACATTTATTAAATATTTAAAATTCCAGACATAGTT